CAGGGAGCCCGATGCGGGACTCGATCCCGGGACTCCAGGACCATGACCTGAGCCGAAGGCAGTCGCCCAACCAACTGAGCCACCCAGGCGCCCTAGTCCACTGTTCTAACAGGCAAATTGTATGATGTTAATGACAGATAGTATTTTTTTCAAAGCATTTTGGTGAAATTATAGTTAATGAGATTGGAAAGGATAGTTATCCAAGTGAGACATTTGCAGAATTTTCATTTGTTTTGTCCCTGAATTTCCATATGGTGTGCAGCCTCATCTCTGGTCTGCATCTGCATGTGTGCAGGGACTCACCACACTGAGGTAGGCGTTGCTGCCAGTCAGTCGGGTATTTGTACAGGGGGCTGTTCTCTCCAGTGTAGCCCTCCCAGGAGCCATGGAGGTCATAGGTCATGATGTGGATGTGGTCCAGGTACCTGAGGTGGGGTAAGGGATTTAAAAACATTTGTGACAGTCATTTCCCACACCTATGCAGGCAAAAGTTACCACTTCCAAAGCCTCCTAAATGAGGTCCCTGAATAGCAAGACAGACTGAGGACAAGTCTACCTTGCAAAAGTGATAACTACAGGAGTTTGAGGATAGGGTGAATGACTCACTGGGCCAGCTGGGGGATTTCATAGCTGGACTGGATGTTGGAGATGCCAGCAGCTACTGCAGCAGTGATCATCAGACTGGGCTTGTTGATCTGCTTGGCCTCCTTCACGCACTTCCCCTGTAGAATAATCAAGTACAGTAGGTCATCTATGCATCTGATTTCAGTTCCTTAAACAAGTAAGTTTGTATCATGCTTTTCTTTTTCAAAATGCTTTCCTATATTTTATCTTACTTTAGTTTCTCAATTTCTCTATAAAGTAGATAGGATTGATGATATCAATCGATTTTATAGCTATATAATATGAATAGAAGTTACACAATTTCACCAAAGTCCCACAGCAAGTTAGTAGCCAGGTTATGCCCAGAACGCAGGTCCCAGATGACCAGGCGGAGCTCCACTTATATCACTATACTCTGAACTTACAGTTGCTGCAGTAACCTATATCCAGCTTTTGGCACTATACATGTTGCTTCCCTTTATCCAGTTAATGAATTACTTTATAAGACTGACATCCCATCATACGAAATGCTGATTTCGTCAATAAGGGAAGTGGTTACAGCCAACTGATGGGTTTCCATTATTTAGCATGAGCACCTTTATTTTGGGTGATTTTAATCTCATTTGGAGGACGGGGTTCAGTTTTTATAGTTGTATTATTAGAGTGTGCCAGAGTGTGTTCCACTGAAGGGTGGGTCTGAAAATTGTCATGTGATACTAGTTAAAGGAATTAGGGAAGAAGAGAAATTATAGGCAGGATGTTACAGCAGTCTGCAAATATTGAATGATAGATTACAAAAGATGTTTTATCCTTTGTTATTTTGGTGAGCAGAACTAAAGCCAATGACTGGAAGTTATAAATTATGACTGGAGGCATGTTTCGGCTAAGAATAGAGATGTTCTTTCTTATCTCTACAGCTGTTCAACAAATAAGTAAATAATAAGTCTAGTGTAATGGCTAGAAGCAGTAGACTCTGTAGCCAGACTGCATGGGTAGTTATGACACCTACTAGTTGTGTGATATTAAGCAAGTTACTTAAACCTTAGTTTCCTCTGTAAAGTAAAGATTATGATACTTATAGTACCTAGATTATAGAATAGATGTACAGGTGAAATGAATTACAATTTTTAAAATACAATAGTAGAATAAAGTAGCATAGTGTCTGACACATAGCACACATGTGTTCTTGTTGTTATCTTTATGAAATGCTGTTGAATGAAGGCATGATATCTAAGAATCTTTGTGACGTGAAGATTCCATAATTCTAAATTTCAGTTTAGTTGCACTTGGGAAACACCAGATTCTCCTTGGAAAGAATAGGCTTTGAATATTCTTGGGTTAGAGATTGCCACTTCCCTCCTCACCTGCACTAGGACGTTGAAGAGATGTTTGCCCTGAGGAGAGCTCCCATGAGAGCCAGGGTACTCCCAAAGTCCAGCCCATCAAACTCATAGTGGCGCAGGAATCTGATGACTGAGGCAATGAAAGTCTGGCGGTTCTCAGGAGTGGAAACCATGGCAATGAAGCTGAGGGAGACCCAAAGAAGGCAAGGTGAGGGAACGCCTTGGTGGTCCCAACACCTTCTAGTAAAATCAAACTTTTATATTTCTGCCTCAGAGCTCTTCACTGGGGACCCACAACCCAGATATAAGTATGCTTCTAGTTTTCTTTTGTCATTACTTTGTAATCAGTACTCAGCCAGCCATGGTATTTCAGAGTTCCCTTTATTTTGTTACCCACCCGACTCTGATTTTTTTTCCATAGGTTGCACTTGTTGCTTTGAAACCTGGCTACCCCAGCTCACTGTGTTCTCTCTCCAAATAGTCCCCCCCAAGTTCATATGCCTTCAAAGTCTTCTTGTTTATTTGCATGACTTTCTCTTCTCTTCCCCCAGAAGGTAAATAGAAGTGCTATAGCACTCTCCACATGGATTGTGCTTTTGAAATACTTTAAGAAGAGGTTGTTTTGAAATCTCAGTAACTAAACCTCTGTGAATGGAATCCCAGAATATACATCTAAATGTAAACATATAAAATAAATTGTGTTCTACTTTAATATTGAGGTACTGGTAGAGTAATTTATTCCAGTAGTCTATTTGTTTAATGTGCATCCTTCATAACCTGTCTTAGATTGTGAAGTGTAAAGGAACATAACTTGTTTTCAATAGCAGATGAACACCAGGCTCTCCCAGAGAGGACTTACAGGGAGTTCCAAAGTTCCAGCCTCCAATGGCCAGGAGAGTTTTAGGCTGGCTGTTCCTACAAAGCAAAGAATAGAAAAGAGAAATTTCAAAATCCATGAGTCCTTCTATTTAAAATAACGTTGCTTTGGTATTGGACCTGGTCATATAGTTCGATGTTGCCTTGATAAGATATTCTGTAGGATAATTTTCCTTCATTACTGAAGACTTTCTTTATAAAAATTGTGTTGTTATACAATACTTAGGATAATACTAAGTGAAATAAGTCAGTCAGAGAAAGGCAAATGCCATATGACTTCAATCAGATGTGGAATTTAATAAACAAAGAAAAAAGAGACAAACACAAAACAGACTCTTAAATACAGAGAACAAACTGGTAGTTGTCAGAGAGGAGGTAGGTAAGGGGATGAGGTGAAATAGGTGAAGGAGAGGAAAAGTACACTTATCATGGTGAGCACTGAGTAATGTATAGAATTGTTGAATTAGTATACTGCACACCTGAAACTAATACTGTATGTTAATTAGACTTCAACAACAACAACAAAATTGTGTTGTTATCATAAATGCACTCAAAATTCTTCGAAGAAATCCAAATTATGGGAGTGGATTTTGTAAAAACAGGTATCTATTGGCAATAATATATATAAAACTTAAAAGCATAATTAAATCATATTCTGTTCCATCAGATGAAATGATAAATGTTGCTGGAGCATAATTACTTTCTCAGCCTCCAAGATAATGACTATAAATCAGTTGCTTAAAATTATGCCCATTTTTCTGGAATAGTGGTTCTCAAACAGTTTATATAAGAATGGAGTTCAACGGTCAGAGTGGGAAAACATTAAAATTCTGGGCTTATAGCCCCTTTCTTAGAGATTCTGATTCAGTTGGACTGTGGGAGGGATTGACATTTTTATCAGGTGCCCCATGTGATTCTGATACATAGTCAATGGATCACACTTAAAGAAATACCACTCCACAGAAGTTTACTTCCTCTATTTATCATAACTTATATTCTAGTAGTTACATTCAAGATAGTACCATTACTGATGGTAGTGATGGCCTGTAGCCTTATTTCTCCTAGAAATAGCTAAACTGAGCAAATCGAAAATTAAAAGATACCAGGGTTATTGTTTCTTTGTTATGTTTCATTTTTACACAAATAGAACTCTTAAAATACAGCAGACATTTCTGATTTGGGGGGCTCAGTGACGTCTAATCTTCATTATCTTCCGCCTCCTGCTCTCTGATGTGAGTAGCTAAGATGGCTTGCAGTTTCTTGGATCATAAAAAAAGCTATTGACATGGAAAAGGAGAAATAGAATTGATATGTTTTGAATACCTGCTAGAGCAGGCAATGTGCTATGTTATCTATATCCTTGCTACTTAAAGTGTAGCTTCCTGAACCAGAAGCATCAGCATCATCGGGGAGCTTGTTTGAAATGTAGAATCTTGGTCCCCACCTCAGACTCACTGAACCTGAACTCATTTTAAGAAGATCCCAGGTGATTTCTTTGCACATTTATGTTTGGGAAGCACTAACCCAGGAGATACCAAATTAGATATCTCTTCCATCTCTTACTTGTTTTTCAGGCCACTGAAAGCTTGGTAGAAAGTCACATCATTCCATTCAATGGTGGTGATCTCATTGTTCTGCATCCCAGCAAAGGCATAGATCAGGTGAGTACATAGGCAGGGGTCAATGTCATCAGGCTTAAAGCACCCCAGGCCTGGCTGGTACTGGGCCCAGTTAGTGAAGTAACATGTCAGCTGGTAAGCAGAACCTGAGAGCAGTAAGGAGTGAGAATAATGGCCTGATTTAGGTGCCACTGAAAGGTGCTATGAGTTTTGGCTCTGTCTCTGTTTCCCTCCCTTTGCCTCAATGCCTGATCTCTATGTGGGGGTGTTTAATGTAAATATTTTTGCAGATGAGTTCAAAGATTCTAACTTGGGAACTAGTCACTGACTTGGGGTTAGTTATTTTTGACTCCAACAGATTAATTTGGGGATCTTAAGCCTAAGAACCACTTAAGAAAAGATGTCCAGTAGTCCTGTGAAACCCAGTGAATACTAATTTATAACTCCCAGTGGTCATGCTAAAGAGGCTAGCAGTGACAGCCAATCCAAAATAATAGGTTCTCTCAGTGTCAAACCCATCTGTGAAGTAGACAGTAGTTCTCTTTCCCTCATATGGCTTATCTCTTGATATACTTTAAAAAATACATTAATCAGACAATTGCATTATGAGTAATTTATAGAGATTTGTGGTTTATGGTAGGAAAAGATTGTGTCAAAGAAAGAAGACAGAGTTCATGACTTACCTAGCTGAGCATTCAGCAGAAGTGCCGGACCTAGAGGGAAAGAAAACACATGCACTCTGAACCAATCGTCTATACCCTGTGGAATCTGATTCTGAGGCCTTGGGTGCCATCCTATTTGCCATAGGTTGTTACAGCCCAGGGGCACGTAGGGATTATGCTGAAGAGTAGGTTTTCCATTGAAGGCACCAATAGATCCACACTTCCCTCATCTTAGTCAAAAATGGCCATGGCACTCTCTTCTTCCACCTTTCATGTCAATAATAAATGCTACTAAATGCAGAGTTCACAGGGTACTGTTTTGGAAGATTTACTGAATTTTTACTGAAATTACCCAGAATGTACTCTACTCAATGAGTACACATCCATCAGTGCTTCACCTCCCTGAACCGGGATGATTATATCCTTCCACAGACAAGGCATCCTCTAAAGCAGTGAATTCAATATCTCCTGAAGCCTTGGAATTTTCTTGGAGCCACCTTTTAGGAGCTCTTATAGTAGAAGAGAAGTACCAGGAACTGTGAGGCAAGACTCCAGATGCCTCTCCCTGGTTCTACCAGAGCACTTCTGACATGATTGTTTTATAAATTGAGCTAGAAGTTTCATTTAGAAAAGGTTTTGAAACTATAAAAAGTTTGTAAATCACAGCTCTAGAACAACTAATAAACAATGGATATAGCTTGGTTCTAAACAATTTACTGACTTAACCCCTTTAAATGATTGCATTTCTAGCTGACATTTTTATGATACATCAGCAACTCAGTAGGACAGTAGGGGATAAAAAAGAAGTAATTCTGAAAACAGTAGAACAAAGATAACTCACATCACTCTATCTCAGTTCTACTGATTTCATCCCTAGAAAAGCTAGACCAAGGATTCAAGCAGGTAAATAAAAATGATACCAATTAAAATGAGGTGGTGCAGGAAGATGAATGCAGAACAAGAAACAATTGATAAGGGATTAGAGAATAAGAGAAGCATTGGAAGAAAATAAGCCTTTCTGTTAGGACAATGCCCATGGGATCAATGAAGGTAGAAATGTTACTAGAGTCAGCTGAGATTAGAATAAGAGACTGATTTGTATATGTCAGGATTCTCTTGGAAATTTTAAATGATGGAAGAAGAATGGAAGAGCCCAGAGGTATAATGTGAAGACTGCTTCACAGCTGTCAGATCCAGAGAGAAAAAGAAATCAGGTAAGAGTAAGGCTCTGTCTCTGACTACAGACTCACCTGTGAGGAGAATAAGCTTTGCCATGGCTGTCACTGGTACTGGTCTAGCAGAGCCTGGATTTGCTTTTTATACCATCTGAGTCCCAGGTTATCATAAGGGCTTCCAAGTGGAGAACAATGGACTCAGATGTGTATGTAAATAATCAGTAAATCAACAGATCTTCTCCCCTACAAACACCACACCTTAGACCTGCAACCTATACTTCCCCAGCACCACCACTTTCTCTGCTCAATAAGGACAAAGCAATGCTATGACTCCTAACAAGGTGGTAGAGACCACCACAATAGAAACCACCAGCTTAATAGCTTTTATGGCAGTTCCCAGGGCTGATAAGCATCTGTTTAAACATTCTGGTTAGGTTTTTATGTTGTGGACATTTCGTGCCTGGCATCAAAGCATATCTTTATTGGAAAGCAAATAACAAAAGCCCTTAGAAGTTATTAGCTGTTTTTAAACCCTTTTTCTTCATGGAATTATTCATGTATAATTTGTACAATCAGTACAAACTTTCCATCTTTAGGTGCTACTTTCTGAACATTTTACCCACACCTGTTCTTTGGAATGATCTTAAGTCATGATTATATGATAATTTTATCTAAGAATGGTTTCCAAAATGTCCCCTCTGAAGGTCAACAAGAACTCTCTAGTGTTCCATAGTTCCAAATTACACCCAGAAGATGCTAAAAAAAATATTTAGTGTTGCTGATGGGTAGAGATGATGGTGATGATATTGAAAGGAGTCTCTTTTAATAGAAATATTTGCAATTTGACTATGTCTAGAATTTTATGTTTAAAATTAATTCCAATCTACCTTTCTAAACATTATCCACTACCATTATCCTATAATAAATTTCTGCTTCAGACAAATGGTCTATTTGTTGTCCTCAAACATGTCTTGCATGCCTTTGCTTATACTATCTCTCCACCCTTTGCCTGTAACGTCTTCTCCTTCTCCTCACTGCCTGCCCCAATTTTACTGTTCTTCAAAGCCCAGCTTAGCCCCTCTCTTTGAAGCTCAGTGATCTCTTCTTCCTCTGAAATATCTTATATACTCTAGTACCTATTGTCTGTACTGCTTACATGCTACTGTCCTGTACAATACCCGGAAGTAGTTGGTGGGCATATGGGCGCCCATTGTGGGATATCAGCACCTTCGCTGACTTCTATGGGTGCAGACTGACTTCTCTATCACATTTAGAAACTACATTGTATCCATTCATCCCATGATAATTAGGCCCTGAGTGCTTAGTTCCCACTGGCAGGACCAGAGAAAGTCTGGTAGAAGTGCTGCCAGGGAGGATTTCAGTTGTGAAAATAGTAATAACAACAAACACTACAACAAACACTACGTGCCAGAGATTGTTCTTGGTGTTTTATATCACTAAGAACTTACTTTTGCAAGTGGCTAAAACCAGCTCTAACAAGCACAGATTCATATTTTGGGAAAATATGAGGACGCTCACAGGATCAAAGGTAAGAAGATAGTACTGCGTCTGATAAGACAGAAATCAAGCCTTTTGGGGGGTAGTGGAGTGGGACGAGGTCTTAAAATAAACCTTAATTTTATTTTTTAGCCATCCTTCATTCCACATAAGAATCAAAGTTCCAGGAGAAATAGTCTGTGTAGCTTTGAGCTTGCATCAGACACTTGATTAGGGATAAAAAAAAGGGCACTTGGATTAAAATTTCCATCAGGACTGATCACAAAATGAAATTCTGGAAGAGTGGGGGGCAAATACTGAGTGAAAAACAAGGAATGTTCATCAGAGGGTCTACTTAATTATTTCATTTAACCCATAAAAACTATTATTACTGTAACCCCAATTTTGTAGATGAGAAAATTGATCAAACAAATCTTAAGCACCAGATGTAAGATTCAGTGCCAGGATAGCTGCCTCCAGAATGGAAATAATCTTTACACTGCACTGCCTCCTTATATTCAGTTGGTGGTCCAAGTTGAGCTGGGGAAGGCATTTCCCCGAGGCACCCAGGAAACTATGGTTGGGACAAAGAGCCAGAATTGTGTTAAATCAAGGGTAAGTCAAGGATTTGCAAAAATAGCAAAGCCAGTAGTCTCAGGGTTATGCTCTTTGGCACTATTAGGTCTAGCTGCTGTTTAGATTTAGTGAGATATTTTCTTTTGAATTTGGTACCTTTTATCCTACATAAATGACCTGCGGGTAAAATATTCCTTCTTAATAGCTCCTTAAGAGCTCCAGGTGTGTCCCTATCAAGCCTGCTTTCTATCTGAGCACTTAGGTGTTGGAAAGAATTATCATCATAAGATTTATAGAATAATAAAGGTTTAAAAGTGTGTCATTGTGTATCTTTTCATATTGTTAAATTTTTTTCAATAAGCTTCATTATTTTTAGATTCTCAAATTTATGGTACAATGTACCACACACATGAGTTTAGATACGCATTTAAAGAAAAATATTTAAATGAAAACCCCTGTTCTACCACCCAGCTTAAATATGATAATACTATCTTTGAGTATTACTCTGTATGTCCTTACCCAGCTCAATGCTTCTCACTCCCCTGGAATAAGCAACTATCTGAATTTTGTGGTAACCATTTCTTTGCCTTATTTATAATGTTATCATATATGCCTGTATCCCTAAATAATATATTCATTAGTTTTATAAGTATTTATTATAATAATATCTTCATTAGTTTTAATATCTTCATTAATTTTAACTTTGTATATGTGAAATAGTGCCAAATGTATTCTTCTATTTCTTGCTGTTTTAGCTCAGCATTCCTGGATTCATCCAAGTTGTTACAGGTAGCAGCTGTTCACTCATTTTCTTTTTTTAAAAAAGATTTTATTTATTTATTTGAGAGAGAGAGAGAACAAGAGTGGGGTGGGAGGGGCAGAGGGAGAGGGAGAAACAGACTCCCTGCTAAGCAGGTAGCCCAGGACCCTGGGATCATTACCTGAGCTGAAGGCAGACGCCTAATCGACTGAGCCACCAGACACCACTGCTCGCTTGTTTTCATAGCTGTATGGTGTTCTATTATATGAGTGTGCTACAATTCACTTATCCTTTCTACATAGAGCAACATGTGGGTTGTTTCCAGCTTTCCCCCCTGTATGCTGTTATAAGCTTTTCTTAACATGTCTCTTGGTGAACATTTGCAAATTTCTCCGGTGTTTATATTGAGGAATAAGATGGCTGGGTGAAATAGCATATGAGTCTTAAAATTTATTATTTAGCTACACATTTTTTCCCAAAGTAGTTGTATCAGTCTGTACTACCAACAGCAATGTATGACAATTCTTATTACTCTATATCTCTGCCAAAATTTGGTATCATCAGATTTTAAAATTTGTGTCATTATAGTAGATAGTTTTAGTTTTTCTCTCTCAGGTAACTAATAAGGTTGAGCATTTTTAAACATTTTAAACATTTATTGTCCACTTTTTTTCCTTTTCTGTGAAATGTCTGCTCATGTCTGTTGCCCATTTTTCTATTGGGTTGTCCACAAATGTATTAATCCTTTATAGGAGTGCTTTATATATATTTGGAATTGTAATAATTTTTTCTCCCATTCTGTGTCTTGTCTTTTCACTTTTTTTAAAATTTTATTTTAAAATTAAAATAAATTACTCACCATACAATACATCATTAGTTTTTGATGTGGTGATCCACGATTCATTGTTTTCATATAACACCCAGTGCTCCATGCACTACATGCCCTCCTTAATACCCATCACTGGGCTAACCCATCCCCCCAC